GTACTTAATTTGGTTTGGTTTTTTTAAAAAACAAATTTCGATTGAAAATTAAAAACAAAATTCATTTTTTAAATTCATCAATTGTTATAAAGCAAAGACTGCATAATAGACTTTATAAGGCAGTCGGAACATTCAGGGCTTCGCCCTGATACGAGCAGTCTTGTTTCAATTTGGAACGTTTTTGTAGTGTGGGATAAAACGCATGCGTTACAAACGGTGGCCAGTCAATGAGCAAAATGGTCTAAAAGCAGAGAGGGTCATATATAGCACAACGGACATATCGTAATTTATACGGGCTAATCGATAAGAATTCTCATTACTAGCCAAAGAAATGAATAAAGTATACATAACTTGAGTAGTTTCCTTTCTGAAAGAAATTTTTTGACCTTGCCTCGACTCATTTTCCGACTGCCGCGACTTATTTTTCGATCATCGCGGCCGAGATACGGTGTTTCCAGAGTTTTTCCGCGACTTAAAACCCTGTCCAGACTATGGATTTTGGGCCGTGGAATTAACAAGTTAGTCGCGGACCTCTACCTGGGTTCTGCTTTCAGACCATTGGTTCGACTCCGTTACAAGCGTGGGATGAATAATTTGCGTTACGCTATCAGAAATAAAGTTTTTCACAGAGCTCCGCGAACGACATCTCTTTGAGTATCCCTCCTCACGATTTTAGTGGTTTGATTTTAGCAATTAAAAGGGGAGAAACTTTTCTTGACCAAACTGTACCAAAGATTACAAGAAAACTTCCAGGAGAGCACTGTGTTAAAAAGACACGGACCAAGTAGCTTTTTTCCAGAAGTTCAATACTTTTGGGGGCTAGAGCAAAAACTAAACTCCATTCAGTAAAGTTGTTGGTTGGCTGAAAATTCCACCGACCCAAAAAGCCGTCTTTTGTGTTATACGGCCCAAAAAGTATTCTTTCAGCAATTTTGAAAGTTTGATCATGATGTTCGAATCTGACTGGTTGAAATTATATACCGGAAAAAAAATCTCAGCGTGTTCAATGGAAACAGAAGATCCAGTAACAGTTTGACATTTTGGGGCTGTATAACAGAAAAGACCAAATTCCACATAAACCAAATTAACACCCCCCCCCCCCCGCCCACCCCAAAACAGATTGGTGGAGGATGTGGTCTCGGTTTTTTATATAGCTACAAGTTTGCATGACAATACGAATGGTTCAAGCGAAATATTGCGCATTGACACATCTGCGTAAGCGAGTAGCATAATCAAGAGTCCCAATTCTTTTTGTTTTCCTCTTTCTTTTAAACTGATTCTAGACTGACAGCATTGAAGTTTTTGCAAGTTTCACTCTTAGCAAACTTTGTTTGTTATTTTAATGGTAACTCAAGAGTTTGATCGATTCATAACTTGTACCTGACAAATGAAGTAATAATTGCTTCTTTTCTTTATCTCGATCCTCCCAAGAACATCCAACCTTGTCCGCAGTTATTCCCAGCTCCAACTCAACCAAGTCAAGAGGGGTTAAGCTCCCCTTTGAACAACCACTTGAACAATCTAACTGTTCCTAAGTACCCTCTGTAATTTATCCCCACTGAGACAAACAGACAATGCTGCTCAGAATGGTTCAATTGAACAACTTGACCAATTAGTCCTTTTGGTCTGTTTGTATTTGTTCGTAAAATAACTTTTCTAGACCTATCGGCGCCCCAATAGAACTCATTGAGAAAGAGGGGGAGATTAGAAAAATAAACAACTAGGAGGAAACGAAACGAAAACAAATTGGGGAAAGAAGTTCAGGAATGATCAGATCAGATGAGAGGAACGGTGCATTGATGAACACAACATCGAATGAAAAAAGATACTCAGTCGGAATCAGATATCGAATCATTTTGAGTCACGTGGATTTGGGAAGTGGACCGATCGTTTAGCAGACCAATCTTTTAGCATTAAAAGTTTATTTTTCAAAGTTTTTAGTCTATCGAAAATTTCTTTATCAATCACTATTCCACTCAATTGAAGCCAAAAGCTATGGGAAAAAACCTGTTAGTCACTTCGGATTAAAGCCATTTTCTAGTACCCTTTTTCGCGCAGCAAAGTTTTGCGTTTTCAGAAAAAAATGAGATATTTTAATAAAACTCAAATTTTGCCCGTAGGTGTTAAAAGTTTAAGCCATCTGGAGATCGCATCTGAAATTCCTTTAGTTTTTTTTCAGTATAAGAGCAATTTGAAAGGTATCTGAAGGCCCCTGGTTTTTGCTTAAAACAGTAAAAACTTTATCTGCTCCCACACCCAATGTCAAGTAGAAAGAGGTGATTTTCCTATCTAGTAACTTGTTTTTCGAACTAAATTGAAGATTAAAAGCTCATCTGCTCCATCATTAGTTCAAAAAGATATCGATTCTCTTTTTAATTGGTCAACTAACAATCACTTACAGTTTCATTCTGCCAAATGTAAAGTTCTGAACTTTGGTGGTTATGATGATTCTATCCAATTCTTGCTCGGATCAGACATCTTACCATTTGTTGATGAAATTAAAGATCTTGGTATCATAGTCTCCAACAATCTTTCCTGGAAATCCCATCTGAATACTAAGTTGATAAAATGTTCCAGATTGTTTTATTTTCTGAAACGAAATATTCCTTTCTCGGTATCCTGCAGTCGAAAAAAGTTACTTTACAATACTCTCATTCTGTCAATCTTACTTTACGGTGCTCCTGCATGGTGCCCGCAAAGTTTTGCGTTTTCAGAAAAAAATGAGATATTTTAATAAAACTCAAATTTTGCCCGTAGGTGTTAAAAGTTTAAGCCATCTGGAGATCGCATCTGAAATTCCTTTAGTTTTTTTTCAGTATAAGAGCAATTTGAAAGGTATCTGAAGGCCCCTGGTTTTTGCTTAAAACAGTAAAAACTTTATCTGCTCCCACACCCAATGTCAAGTAGAAAGAGGTGATTTTCCTATCTAGTAACTTGTTTTTCGAACTAAATTGAAGATTAAAAGCTCATCTGCTCCATCATTAGTTCAAAAAGATATCGATTCTCTTTTTAATTGGTCAACTAACAATCACTTACAGTTTCATTCTGCCAAATGTAAAGTTCTGAACTTTGGTGGTTATGATGATTCTATCCAATTCTTGCTCGGATCAGACATCTTACCATTTGTTGATGAAATTAAAGATCTTGGTATCATAGTCTCCAACAATCTTTCCTGGAAATCCCATCTGAATACTAAGTTGATAAAATGTTCCAGATTGTTTTATTTTCTGAAACGAAATATTCCTTTCTCGGTATCCTGCAGTCGAAAAAAGTTACTTTACAATACTCTCATTCTGTCAATCTTACTTTACGGTGCTCCTGCATGGTGCCCTTCTTTGACACTATTACATCAGCTTGAACTGTTCCAGTACAAAGTTCTAAGATGGATCAAGAAATGTTCATCGTATGTTTCAGGGCTACTAAATCTGAATATGCTTCCAATTAGCTATGTATTGATTAGAGTTGAAATTCTTCTACTTTGGAAGCTCCATAACAATGTTATTGATGTTGACTGCAAAAGTGCAACCAGCTCGCTTCCTACGCGTTCCGCTACGAGTGGCCTATTCGTCATACCGAACACGAGGAAATTGAAAACTGACGATAACTTCTTTGTACGAGCTCCCCGTGCTGCCAATGAACTTCTGCGTCTGAAAATTATATCTTTCGACATGCCCCTGGGAATGTTCAAATCAAAACTGAATAAATTTTTACTGCTTAAAACTTCAACTTTGTTTGATATAAACAGATCATGCACATTCTTTGTCAAATGTTTTTGTAAAAATTGTCGATCGTAAGTTCATTCAATATTTATATTAACCCTGTATCCACCAATGGAATTAAAGTCTTTTACTACTACTACTACTACTAAATTGCTCGCTTCAATTCAATTTGTTTGCCTGTTTATCTATTGAGTCTTTTTTTGTTAAAGGGCTCTTGAGGTCATATAATTATAAACGTACGAATGAAACACCAGTTGTAATTCATCAAAGTTTTCTTTAGCAATCACTTTTCAAAACTAGTAACAAAGCACTCTTTACTGTCAGGGTTTTGCCATGACGCAAAAATTCTTCAATAGTTAACTCTTAACCACGTTCCAAGCAGATTTTGCCGGCATCACTTTTATTGTGCACAATTAGTTTAGTTGAAAAATTGAGTTTAAAATTACAGTTCCATTAATTTTTCCTGGAATGTTCCAATCATCATTATCTTTCTACATCAGCAGCTCTGCTTTTTTAAACATTGAATAAGTTATGTGATTTGAATAATCTTGTCCCGAGTTTCGAACACTGAATATTAATAGTGCAGCTAAAGTTTCTTGTCATGATCGATTTACAAAGTTACTTAGCAGCAACTAAATGCAGTTTCAAATATACATATTTTTTGCAAAATAACCGCTCAATTAAAGCCAAAAACAATGGAAAAAATCTACTTGACTAGATTGCAAACCGTTTCTAGAAGCCGTTTTTAAGCAGTCAAGTCTTAGAAAAAAATGCGAAATTAAAAAAAAGTGGATTTTGTTTTCAACTAATACAGTCTTGAGCAATCTGAACATGGTTCTAAAGGTCCTTTTGTTTTTGGTTCAAACCAGGGGCAGATCTAGGATTTTCTCGAAGGGGGATTTTCAAAAAACTTTCGGAAATTTTGTCGTTCTTTTTTTATGGTCGCGCACCACCCTCAAAATTAGTATACATTGGCGCCAAAGGCGCCTTTACAAAAGTTTTAAAGGGTCCGTCACCAAATATTGATATCTCAAAATAGTACAAAGGGGGACCCTTTGGGTCGGAAGGGGATCGAATCCGTGAGGGGTCCGAATCCCCCTAAATCCGCCCCAGGTTCAAACAGTAATTGCAAAAACAAATCTAAATGCTTGCCTATCTATCTAGAGTTTTCTATTTAGTAACTTGTTCTTGGAACTAATTTGCAGGCTTCACTTCATTTCTCTGGTCTGTTTATCTGTTGAGTAACTCTTTTTTCATTGAAGAAGTTTTGAGATCATATAATACTAAACATACAATTGAAACTGCAGTTGTAGTTTATCTAAATCAAAGTTTTTGCGCAAGGATTGGCAAACTAACAGACAAAAAATAAGACTTAAGCCACAGAAATTTTGTTTTGAAATGTCGAAAAAATTGATCAAACAAAAATGTTCAGATTTTTGTATTCAACTTGTCTTGAATAGGTTAAATTCAAAAAAAATATGACACCTAAATCAATGAAAAAAAAAACGCTAAATAAAAAAAATAATAAGCAATCTCGAAAAAACAATATCTATCAAAAAACAAAATTTTTTGTTCAGATTGCTTTAAACTATAACAGTTAAAAACAAAAACCTTTTTTTAAAAAGTTTATCATTTTTTTTCTGAAAAAAAACAAGCCAAGACAAACGAATGTTACATTAGCATTAAAATTATCAAGTGGTAACAGAAAGACTTCAAATCGGCAAGGATCTCTGACTGACTTATGACCAAAAGCAAAATATTCAAAACACTTCAACCTTAAAACACACAGGCACACACATTTTTGTTGCCCGTTGAAATACGCTACGAAGTCACTGAGCCGATGTATTAGTGATGAAAACCATGAAAAAGTTCGAAAAAACTTAAGAATAATAAAAAAAACTAAAAAAAACTTTTAAGTTTCCTCATACAGACACGCTTAAACGCCACATAAATTGAGGCTATTAAGCCGATATAAAACTGATCGAGAATTATTCAGCCAAAAAAAAAACGAAAGTTTAACAAATCGATTTGATAAAATAACGAGCAACATTAAAAAACACATTTCAAGTACGACAAATATTTAAAATGCTGAAATGCACAAAATATATCTTTTGCGGTAAATTTTCTGCCAACAAAGGCTTCCTGGAAATGAATCCAGTAATTTCTATGAACAAAGTTATTTACTGTTGGTTAGCATCGAAGCAAAATTTACCATAAGGTAATAACGTCGAAAGGTCTTGAGCAGATACACGTTAAGCGAAAAATATTTTCAAAAAGAAATTAAAACTCAAACTATTTCAGCTTCCACCGCAAAACATTTAGATCTATATATTCTCTTGCTCATCAACGCACTCTAAAATAAGAGTTTAGCCGATTGATAATCAGCCAAAATATTTTTTGTAAAAAATAGAAAAGAAGAATAAAAAAGAACGATGATATTGAAATCGGAGATGACAATTTTACAACCAGCATTACACACATTGTTCTAATAAAGTGGTCTTTTACAATGTAGACATGTTCAAAATGTGTATGTTAGTTTGGTACAAATTGAGATGGCCACCAACTTCATTCATCTTGTGTAAAAATTACAATTATGTAGCAGTTTTTTTCAGCAGATTAATGCAAAACTTTTTCTCAATTATCAACAATTTGTATAAGGTATACTTGAAAAATGGCAAAAAAAACAATA